AGTAGGGTGTCATTTAATTTCCATGTATTGAAAGTTCTTTTCTGGTTTCTTTTGTCATTTATTTCCAGTTTCATTGCATTATGGTCAGATAATGTGCATGGGATAATTTCTGTTTTCTTGCATATACTTAAGCATGACCTGCATTCCACTTTTAGAATGAATGAAAGATGACTTTTTAGAAGAACAGCTCCTCAGGACTCACTCTTACTGTTTCACTCCCTCAAAGCATATGGCTGAGCTGAATGGTGTCATGCATGCCAGTATTCCTAGCTCTTTGGCAGGAGGGTTGCAAGTTCAAGCTCAGCATGGGTTATTCAGACCTTTTCTCAATAGAAAAAAAAGAAAATATTTTTAAAAGGGATAGGGATGTCACTTAGTGGATGTCACTAGGTTTGACCTCTTATACTGAAAAATAAATACCTAATTAATTTTAAAAAACGTGTGCCTCTGAGTGGAGCCAAAATGAAACTATCACAACTGCTATTTACTTCTAGTCCTAGAAACTTTATTTCCCTGTAAATGTGTCTTTACCCTGTACCCCTCAAGTGGCAGTCAGATAAACCTTCACTTTCATACTCTGAGGAACAAATAACATCAGTAGCATCACTTATTTCTTAAATTAACAAGACAGAAACTCGATAGATTTTGTTTTCATATAGTAACAGTTTTTGTGTCTGTTTTCTCTTTCAATTGCTAATAGTGTTTCACTACAGTGTGTGGAAAGTATGGGAGCAAACTGTTAGTCTTAAATACAATATGGTCTCTGAATTCTTTTCTGACTATAGGATTTCCAGCAGCATTTGTTGTGGCCTGGTCAGTGGCACGAGCAACTCTGGCTGACACCAGGTGAGTAAAAAACAGAAGAGGTAAGACAGAACCTCAGGTTTCTGACTCAGACTTCCAGCTTGTAATTCACACCAGCTGCTCCTCCAGATACCATTGTCCTTTCAGGACATCGTGTGGGAAGTGGCCTTCATGCAACAACAACCTCCAAGACTTTTCCTGCAAATTTCCTGCCTCAACGGTGCTCCTCAGACAGAAAGATTCACAGACTACATTGAGATGACTGAGCTCCCTGGTGTATGAAATCAATTTGACATGCTGTGAGAAGCAAAGGGAGGGGCGTGAGAAAGGGAGCATGTTTGGCTCTGGTGTGAGCAGATGAAAGAACTATGCTTCTTGAGTCCTGGAATAAGCAATATTCCCACTGCGTGTCTCTTTCTGTGCCATATCAACCTTCCCCAGCGTTGGTGTGGTTATGCGCATTGGCAATAGGATGTTGCACCAAGGGGACCCCTGGACAGACACTTGTATGGATAGTGACGCACACTGACTGGTTTAGAGACACAGGGGCAAGTACATTGGCCATAGCTATACATTCTTAACCTGCTGAGGAGCTCAGGATTTTATTTTTATTCTTTAAGCTAAGGACATATGAGAATGAATTTTATGAATAAGCTGAATTAAGACTTCAATAGTATTGAGCCCTTCCTGTGCCCTGGGAATATTTTATTTCATTTATGTGTTTAGTATATCATAAATGTTTAGCTTGTAGTTGTCTTGCATATCTTTATGACATATTTAACACGTGGTCTACATAGTATCATTTATATTTAATGCAAGTGTGTTTCATTCATTCCATTTGTTCTTTTATCTTCTAATAGCAGAATTGCTGGAATAATATAATTTATTATCTACTGAGTATGAGCACTGTATAGATTTTATTAGCTTCTTGGAAGCTGTGTTAGTTACCTTTCCCAAAGTTGGGACAAAGTACCTGATATTGTAATTTAAAGGAGGACATATTTATTTGGCTCATGCTTGCATAGAGTTTGGTCCATGGTCAGTGACTCCAAGGCAGAAATGGCATGGTGGAAGGCCATGGAAGAGGAAATCTGGCACCCCAGCAGCAGGGCAGAGAAATAGCATCAGAGTGGAAGAGGCCAGGGATCAGATACAGTCCCCAAGGTCAGGCCTGTCTGGCCCAATAGACACAGCCAGAAGTATGAGGGGCCAATCCCATAGGTGCGTCTTAAGTTGGCTATCCTTAAGATGTCACAGGAGCCTCTCTTCTATACGAGTCATTGTTCTTGTTTTGAATTAGTAGGTATTTCCTTCAGAAATTAGCTTATAGGCTAGGCAATTAATTAAAAAAAAGGTCATAGTCTGTGAGCACTTGAGCTCTATAAAGCACCTGCCATTCACTGTTCCAGAAAATCTGAGCTCTCTGAGTCACAGCTTTTAGGAGCAGCCTTCCTGCTACTTACTCCAGTTTCTCTTGATCAGTTTTCCCCAGATCTGACATTTCTAGTCTTCTTATTTTCACTTGTGTGTATTGCTTTCTGCTATTTGGATTCATAATTGACAAATTGGGTTAATGTTATCTACATTGTCTTCATTGTTGTTAAATTTGCACAGTTACTTTGGAAAGTTCAGAGGAAACTTGTAGCATCTGATGTTTGACTTCCAGGGGAGGGAGATTAAGTCAGTAAATAATAACTAACTAATGCTGCAATAATCACATTCAGAGATGCTTAACTATATAACATAGAATCAGTTTTAGAGATGGTAGGGCATCTGGCATTTTTTGGTTTAATGTCCTCATTTTAGAGATAGATAAAATCATACCCAGAGATAACAGGAGATATTTTCAAGACAGCCTGGAGCAACATTTTGACTTTTATTCATCTTTTGAACACAGCCTACATCTTGAATGTAGAAGGAAAGTAAATACATTCGCAGTGTACTTTAAATTAAATTTGGTGTTTTTCTTAATTATTTGGCTTTCTTGAAGACAATACACTAAATCTTAAAATACTAATAATCATAGGTCTTTACACTGCAAAAAATGAAAATAGTTTTTTATTTTTGAGGCAAAAACATACATTGAGTGATATATATATATATATATA